TTATTATTTACTTTAGCGTCTCCTATAGCGCTGACTGTAGTTCGGTTTCTTGATTTTTTGTTAACCAGATGATCGTCGGAAAGAGTTGATTGCCTTTTTGTCATGACATTCTGTTATAAAACTCTTTATATCGAAAGTTTACTATTTAATTTCATTATATAGAGCAAAAATTTATTAATAATGATTCTGATCTAAAAAACTTCTTCACTATATCGAAAGTTCGCTATAACGGAGTGAATTGTATTTTAGTTTAAATTTTGATCTTTAACAATGACGATGGGTTACAATTTATAATTCTCTAAATTCTAACGTCTTTATATATAAATTTTTCTGAAAACCAAAAAACCGGGCTGCCGTAATGATACCTTACAAAACTGATGAAGCCTGACGAAACAAAAAATTTCGTCATTGACGAAACCATTAAGTTCATCAGCTTTGTATTGCTGAGTAATTTTTAAATTTACTTTGAGAATTAAAAAATTAATTTTGCATGGTTTTAATCAACTGATTAGTTAAATAATTATCAATTCTTTTAATTACATACATGACCTACGATCAGAATTTTGAACCAATTTTATTTTTATATGCTAGACCGATTAAAATCGGTTTTAACATATGAAAAATAAAACCAGTTCCAAACTCTACCTACTATATTACGTGAATAGTTTTCAAAAAAAAAACTATTTTTATTAAAGATTTTATTCCACAGTGATAAATCTCGTCATATCGAAGACACATATAGCTGTTGTTGTTTGAAGTTGCTATCCCAAACAATAGTGACAATATTATAAATGGAAATGTATACATTATGTACTTGAAACCCCCAAGTTTTTCTTATTTACAAGACGTTGCCGGATAAAAATTTCACAGCCACTGTGGTGTACACACTTTGGAGCGCAATGACTCAATAACATTATTGAATGTAACGTAACATACTAATGCAGTATATCTATGGTGTATTTAGATATGACATAAACGCCACTTTTTTTAGAAGCATTAGAATTTTATTCTAAACACACCAATAATAAGTTATATTGAAGCGCCATAACCAAATAAAATTATTGAGTGTAACGAAACATACTAATGTAGTAGATTTACGGTGGATTTAGATATGACATAACGCCACCTTTTTTAGATGCATAAAGATTTTATTCAAAGCACACCAACAATAAGTTATATTTAGAACGATTGGAATGATTAGGGATAATCTCGGTGTAATTACATAATGTGTGCAAAATAACGTCATTTTATAAATAGATCAAAGATTCTAAGAGAACCGAACAATATCCACATTTAGTAATAAGCTTAATGGATTGTAACAATTTAGAAACCTACGTGCAGGGCTAAGAAAAATATAAATACAACAGGATTTGGATTTATTTCAAACCATCAGTTCAGCGTATAAAAAAAAGAAAAACTGATATTTAAAACAATAAAGCTTATAACTAGCAAAAATTTAACAAACATGAGCGAATGTCAATCTAGCTTCTTTGTTAATCGGGCTTGCGCCTTCATAAATTCTGGAAATGATCCCATGATTCAAAGTCAGGTGATCGATAGTCCACAACTTGAACTTCCATTCCCACCAGAAATTAATCCACACGATTTAGTTATTTTCCATCCCGATGGTCGTGTGCCCAAAACTCCTAATGCCTTTATGATTTATCGAAAATTGTTTGTTGAAACTGCTCGTGCAAGTGGTTATAACTTGCCAATGAGTATTATCTCTCTAATAGTATCTCGATCATGGGAACAAGAACCTGAAGAAGTAAAAAATGAATATAAAAGAATCGCAAAAGAAGCCTTCAACTATCGTGATGAATTATTTCCTAAAATAAAACCTCAAAAGAAGCGAGACCAATGGAAAACTGTTTCATTTGATAAACCTTCTGTTCGTAAAGTCAGAATTCCTAAACCTATGAAATCTGTCAATAAATCCAAAAAACATAAACAACTTGAATCACCCGTATCTGAACTCCAAGCTACTCCTAATAATGATTTATTATCTCCCATGCTTAATGATTTAAATGATATTGATATGAATTCGCCAATTTTTGACCATAATTTATTTATTGATTGGGCAGATTTCTTTAGTAATCAAAATACTTATCCGAGTCCTGACTTATCAATAACAACTAGTAGCGATAGTTCTCCAAGTCCAAATAATTTTGAGTTTCCAATTCAAACGGATCAACAAGTCAATGATGATATCATAAATAACCTTTTATTCATTGATGAAAACCAATCTCCTATATATGATAGTCAATATGGACTCGGAATTTTCGATTTCTCTAACGTTAACGTTAATGAAATTTCCGAAATAAATTCACATAATTTACATGAAATTCAGAACAACTGCATTTTAGATAATTTGGTCGATTCTACTAGCCAATTACCTTTTTTGCCTAATTTATTAAATACAACAACAATAAATCAAGATAATTTAAACGATGCGTTAATCGCTTATGAGATGGGCTTTAATTACCCTATCTAAAAAATTCTCTTTATCTTAGTATACTTTAATTTTAATGAATATGTAGATTAAGCTTTATGACTATTATATTTTTTTTATTATATTTATGCATCTATGCTATTATATTTTCTATGAAATGTGTACTACATTAATTCTAATTTCTATGCAACAATTATGATGAAATTAAGACATAAAATAAGCATTATTTGATAATTATTTGAAAAACAATTTTAGATGTGTATATATAGATTTAACATAAATTATATTATAAATTTTTGTATTTTTATTTGTATTTATAAATTAATAATAAATTTATAAACTTGATTGATTGAAAATATATGCGTTTGTAAAAGTGAAACTTATTATTTAGTAGCTAGCTAGTAATAATATTTTTGTGTGTGCATACAAGTTAACTTATTTTGACTAATAAAGTGAGTTATTACGATAAAATAAATATGAGATGAAATGCAGATAATCTTTTTGATTTCTTAAAGTTACTATATTTAAAGTTCTTGTTATTACTACCATAAAAATCTTTTTAAACTGTAAACATTCATTTACAATAAATTAAATAATTTACAATAAACTGGTACGAATTATTATGCTTTTCAAATTATTCTAAACTCTGCTTTTTTATTTATTTATTTTTTTTTTACAGACTTCTCTTTTGCATCTTGACAATGTTAAATTATATTATAATTTTGTTTTACGAATTCCAAAGATTTCTCAACGTTACTAATTTTTTACCGTAGCATAACATTATTCATATTAGATTATATCGTTTGTTGGATAAACAAAAATATATTTTTTTTTTACATTTTTATTTTCCTGAATTTTTACAAATTTACAGGTAAGAATACACTATTTCACTAATGTCCTGTTCATTTCTTAATATTTGAAATTCTACAAACTAGTAAAATTCGACAATGATTCTAGACATCAGAACTAACCAGCTAAAATTTAGAATGTTTCTCTCCTAGTTTGAAAAAAGTATACTCATTATTAGAATTTTGATAATATTAGAACTGGTTATAAAAATTAACTGATATAATTTTTAGCCACTCATAGGCTTGTATTTATGATATTAAATTATAGAATAACTGATTATAATGTTATTAAGAAATTTCAAATCCACTTAAATTTGGTTCCCACTTAAAACATATATTTTTTTCAAATGTTGAGCAAAGATTTCTCAATATTAGCCTAGGGGTGGTGCTCATTTCACCGACAGCTTAGTCCACCAACAATTAATTCACCGACAAGTTCATTTCACCGACAGCCCATTTCACAGACAAAGTAATTCTGGCCATTGCCGTTAAGGTCAGGCTAGAATTAGAGTTAAAGCTAGTGTAGTTTATAAAAAAAACT